CATTATCAATGCAAAATAAACGATTATCATCTACTACTAGTTTGACTAGTAATCGAAAATCATCAGCAAAAAAATCTCGAGATAGCAAAGTAAAACTTTTTTTTGTTTTTAACAAAACCTATATGAGTCATTTTACATACAACGAGATATGTCTATCTTTCAAAATGACTTTGATTCTTTATAAGGATCATTTTTTTTTAGCATAGACATATGTAAAAATGTTAGTTTTTTTTAAAATGGATAGTAATTAATAAGTAATTAGTCAATATTTCTTTAGTCATATGAGCAGAAAAAATTGAAAATTGGCGTGTGTATGTGAATATCAGTCTTCTCTTTACACCTACGCTTACATCTCAGCCTTAACAGGGTCACTTTATGATATCCGGAATATTTTCGACATCTTTTTTTTTTCTTTCGGCCAAATTAATACATCTCTTTTTTGTTGTTATAAGGATTTAACCATACACTGAGACATAGTTTTTCATAGTATAGCGAAATTCACATGATGAAGTTTCTATTCCAAATCGATGCGTTTGGAATTCATATTGATAAGAAATTCAATCCGAAGATAAATATTTGCCTTTCTACATGCTTGTTATTAGAACTTGAAAAATCAGAAGTGTTTAGCCTTCTTGAAATATACTTATTTCCATGTTTTAATTTATAATTTTATTTAAATAAAAAATTTCTTTTTGTTTTTAGCTTCCTGTGAATATCAAAACAATTTCAGAAGTTGTTGTTGATGTACTCAATCCATATTATCAAGCAAATAGATTTTCATCTAAAGTATATAAAAAAAAAAATTTTCGAAAGTCGAATTAAATCTCATTGTTTATTTTTATTTTTCTTTCAGGAATTGTTTAAAACACTTGCAAAGCGTGTTTCACAATATTTAGCTTGCAAAGAATTTTCAAATATTGATGCGGGTATATGAAAAGAAAAACAAACCAATTTTTTTTTAATCAAAATTTTGTTTTATTTTATTTTTTTAATATTTTTAAGTACGCATGGATGCTAAATCATTGATTAAACCAGCATTTCGTCATAAGCATTCAAAAATCTTAACACATGCCGATTTAGATCGAATCGTACCACCTTAAATATTTAATTATGGCTACACAGCGAGAGAAAAAAAAACCCAAACAAACCAACAAAAAGAGAGTCTTGTGCACAAGAGAATGTGTTCGTCTAGTCATATGTGAACACCTATTGCCGGTGGCTCTCGCTTGTGTCATTCAATCTTCGTTCTTTTTTCTTTTCTTTTTTTTTCTTTGATTTGTTATTATCTCTCTTTCATTTTTTTTTGTTTTTGTTGTTCTTCTCTCTTTTCTTTTTTTTTTTTTTTGCACTTCGGGATAATTGTTTGGTAGCTTTTATTAGATAGCACAAACATAAATTTATCTCGAGATAGCTTTTAATAAAACAAAAGCACAATGGTCTTGAAAGAAAAAAAAAAATAAAAAAGAAAGCCAGCGCCGACTTTCTATTTTTTAATAATCCATTCAATACCGACGAGTTTTAACAGTATACATACACCGATCAATGTGTGTGTCTTCTAGATCGGCGATATATTTCTTCGACAAAAATTTAAGATTATTTTATCGATGGATATGTATTAGAATATGGCAAACGATTTAAATAATTCGAATATCTTAGGTTAGTGTTATATGAATTTTGACTGTTGGATTTTCGGCTATGTCGATTTTCATATATATATATATATATATATACATTGGATTTCAATTAAATGGTATTGATAATCATATGGAAATTTTCAACCGGTCTAATATTTGGCATACATTTGACAATATTACTAATAATTGTATAACAATATTTATCGAAATTACTAACGAAGGAACTTTTTGACTAAGCTATCGAGTTTTTTTTTCTAGAGATTTCAAGTTTTCAGAAAACTTGTATTTTCAAATTTTGTACATATAGAGAACTCAACTAGACTAGTTTCTATAAAAAGAAAATTCAGAAGTTTTGAACAAAATCTCTTTGAGATACAAAATTTGCAAAAAAAAAAATGCATGTTGTATACATTATCCCATGGAAAAGAATCTATATCTTGAACATCACAAATCTCAAAGAAATTTTGTTCAAAACTTGTGAATTTTTTGTTTTGTGAAGATTAGAATGCAATGTAGTATCTATAGGCAAAAAACAAATTGAATTTGGAAGAAATTATGAGTTCAAGTTCAAGATACCGAATTTTTATCTGATGGATCTCAGTTTTGTAGTAAAATCTTTTATTTTTTGAATTTCGATCTAAAACTTTATACAAATAGATGTCTAAATTGGATAAAAAAATTGTAGAATTTTTGGACACTGTATTTCTGAGAAATTAAATTTTTAAAATATTGAAAAGTCATAGATATTTTTCAAAAACTTAGTATGACAGATATGCAATGTGCAAAAATTTTAACATTTGTTTTTTTATTCAACCTCTATAACGGGTGAGCTATAAAGAATTGCCCTGTGAGTATTTTTAAGATTTCTCCTCTATTATCTCTGCGATTACAATAACTTTTTTAATGAAAAGATAGCGCTTGAAATTCTCTACAAAATCATGTATAACTAAATCCAAAAATTGTTTTTTTATATTAGTAGCTTGTTTAGTGTTTATGCGATCATAGAACCACAAAAAACGAGTGGATCTTGTAGATCTCGATCTGTTCTATAACTTTTCTTCTAAAGTGGTGATCGAAATTTTGATCAGGAAAAAAGTTATAAGATTCAGACGAGAAACAACACCACTTTATTTCGAAGAAAGCGGCATCCTCTGCGTGTGATTATCGTCAATCTTTTCTCGATGAAAATTTCGATCAGCGCTTTAGAAGAAAAGTTGTAGAACAGGCTGAGATCTACAAGATCCACTCGTTTTTTTGTGGTTCTATGATCGCATAAACACTAAACAAGCTACTAATATAAAAATCTCCACCAAAAAGTAGATGTGACATTCACAACCACCGTTTTAATAGTTATATTTTAAAGCTATTTGTATGTCTTTATTTTTCGACTTTTTTCAAATATCTTGAGAACAATTTTTAGATTTAGTTATATATGATTTTGTAGAGAATTTCAAGTGCTATCTTTTCATTAAAAAGTTTATTTTAATCGCAGAGATAATAGTGGAGAAATCTTAAAAATATTCACAGGGCAATTCTTTATGGCCCATTCGTTAGTTTTTATCTTGTCTTCTAGATGTATATTGTGTTGTGTTTTTTAATACTCATAGTCATTGTGAACATTGTCGTTTTATCCATATGAAAATAAAAACTATGTATGAGGTGTCCTTATGGTTCACGAGAAAACTAAACTTAAATATTGTGTACACGATTCAAGCAATCTCCATCTTATTTTTATCATATCATGACATTAAGGTTTTTAAGGTTTTATTTCTTGCGATTTGTTTTACAATGAATATTCACAATAATGACACTCGACTAGAACGGATAAATCTGTCATTTTTGAAATATTAAGAAAAACTATATTTTGTCTATTTATCAATTTCTTTTTCGTTATAAATATTTATTTAAAATTGAGCTTCACATTGAATATATAAATGAATTATATTGATTGTCACTGCCCTCTACCAATGCTATCAAACTTTTACATGTTTGAATCCGAATTTGTAAACTATTATCGGTAATTTTTTGGATGTGCGTATGGGCACGGTGAAGGTATGGGTGTGAATGTGGGTATATCTTTCTTTCGCCAAACACCCACACCCAGATTTGCAAAAAGTCGGCCAGTTTGTATTTCTGCCCCATATTGGTCCAATTATAATGATGTTCAAGTCAAGTGCTTTCTTTCACGAGTTAATATCTTTAGATTTTTGTATGAAGATATTTGAACTTATTTATGCTCTAGTACATCTAACAAATCACTAATTTTTCCTTCTGTTACTACTTATGACGACTGTAAGCTCGAATAAACCATGATTATAAAAAGAATCAACGAACAAAATAGAGTCTATAGATAGAGCTTGTCCATAGATGAAGCAGTCAAGCACTTTTTACCTTCGAATAGTTACAAATTACCTATTTGATATGACTAAAAAGTAAAACTTATACTGCAGCAAGACATACAAAAAATGTTTCACAGGATATTGCAAAGATCATTTTCTAAAAGTTTTTTTCATACATCATTTACTATTCGATTTAACTTTGTCAACTATTTTGTTAATGATAGGTCTATACACAGAATTTTTATTTATATGAACGAACTTTTCATAGCCTGGGTGTGAGTGTGAGTGGATGTAGATCTTCTCTTCATACCTACACTCATACCCTGTACCAATCACTAGACAAAAAAACAAGGCATAATTATTTTTCCTTCATTGTCGCACATATTTTCTCTATCTGCTACTATTGCATCTTGAAATAATAATATGATGATAAATGAAATCGTATGTCAATAAAATTCATTACTATTGAATGAAGAATTTCTTTGAACTTATCTATGTCTTTTACAGAAGCTTATGATTATTACTTATCAAAACTAGAACTATTGAAACCAGTTTATTCAAGTGAAAAATATTGAAAGGAAACAACACATTCATTGATATTGAAATGTGCATTTTATGAGTATGTATTCTTCGCTTTAATTATATTTTCATGTTCAGTTTCTTTTATTTTACTGAAACTTATTTTGTGCAGATAACCAATAAGAGTATTCGGAGAGGTAGTTTGTCCGGTTACAACTGATCTTTGATTATGCTTTTGAATTTCAAAAAAAAAAAATTCTGAAATTTTCCGAATTTTTATATTCTCAATCTAGATTTTCAACTTTCACATCTGACAACCTTAGTGTGAGTGTTTTTCTTCTAATCATTACCCATATTCAGATCTTATTTTCTTTGATATGATGAATAGTTTCCAGTGTGTAAAAAAAAAAATTTGTTTTTACATCAAATGAAAGTTTTCTTTTTATTATAGATTGCTTTTAATTATTAGGTAAATAAGAATCAACTTATGATAAAATATTATGTTAAATTAAATAATAAATTGTATAGTTGTTGGATTAAATATTTGATAAAGATATTGTCGTTCACTATCCGAAATATTGTTATAGGTGGCTATAAGTGAGGTTAATCCTCTCATATTTGTCATTTGATATGGAATACTATGCAATTGATTATAATTAATTGTTAATGTATTCAATGTTGATGATAATTCCATAATTTCAAGTGGAATTGATAAAATTTTATTATAATTTAAATCTAAATTTCGTAAAGATTCATATTCTCCAATACCATCGATAGATACCAAAGAATTATTACTTAAATAAAGTTCACGAAGATAAATTAATGGTGATTGTTGAAAAATATTTCCTTGAAAATTATTTCTCGATAAATCAAGAACTTGTAAATTTGGTAAATCAGTTGATAATGTTAATGGTAATGTTGATAATTGATTTACTTTTAAAATTAAATTGACTAAAGATTTTAATGTTAAAATACTTTCTGGAAAAGTTGTTAATTGACATCCAGATAAATCAAGATTTATAATTGATGGTACATTAAGAAATGAAATATTTTTCGATAGACTACTTGCTGTTATACTAACAGTTGATAATGCTGGTGTATTTTCAAATGAAATTGATTCAAAATTAGCTAAAAATGAAAAATTAATACTATTTAAATTAGATAAATTTTTGAATGTTGCTATTTTAAATTGTTTATTATCACTTAATGAAATTGTTTGAAGAATTGATATATTTTCCATATCTAAAGAAGTTAATTTTGAATTTGATGACATTGTTAATGATGATAATGAAGATAAATTTTGAAATTTTAATGTTAATAATTCATTATTATTTTGAATTTGAATGGAAGCTAATAGTAACATATTAACAATTTCAATTGTTTGTAATATTGAATTAGATTTTATAGTTAAAGTAGATAATCCATGAAGATTTTCTAATTCTAAATTTTTAATATTTGTATTAGTTATTTCAAATTGTATTAATGATTGAAAATTTTTTATTGTTGATGGAATAGTCGATAAATTTGGTAAATCAATTAAATTTAAAACCCTAAGATTAATTAATTTACCCATACTTTCATCAGGTATTTTATTAAAATTTGGAATATTCTGTAACATTAATATTCGTAATTGAATTAAATGATCAATTTCATTTGGTAAATCTTCAAGATTTTTAATATCAAATAATTTTAAATATGATAAAGATATTAATTCTCCTAATTCCGATGGTAAATGTTGACCAATAATACCATTATCCGATTGAATTAATAATGATGTTAATTTTTGAAAATTTTTTATGTCAGGTAATATTGTTAGATTTGTATTTACTAATTGAAGATTTTCTAAATTTTTCAAACAATATATATTTGAAGATGGATTAACATTATTAAATATATTGAAATCTGTAACTTGTGATTCATAATTGAGCTTTATGGATGTAGATGAAGGATAAAAATTAAGTGAAACATAAAATGGATTTAGATTAATAATTTTAAGATCATTGGCATAGATGGTACAATCGATCTCTGCATTGTTAACTAAATTCAAAATAGATGAAAATTACAATTTTCTTTCATTGGAAAAAATGTTTTTGTACTTTGAATATTGATGGCTAAGAAATAAATAACGAATAATGATAGAAAGACTTTCATTTTATTTTTCAATTATTTTTGTACTTTTAATCTCATTCGAAATTTCTTTCTAATAGTCATCAAATGTCAGTTGTCGATTTTCTCATTGATGATTATTTGACTCATGATTTATTGATCAAGATTAGCAAAGCTGATTAAAATCCCAGAAGTAAAAAAAGAAAAAAATTAAAGGTCATTATTATTTTACAATTACAAAGCTAAATAACATGTATTTGATAAAAGTAGAAGATGAATGCATTGTTTCTGTAGGATGTGAGTGTATGGAGTGGTTGTGGGTTTAAGTGTGTGGATATTGTCTTTCTCTTCACCAACAATCATACCCACAGCCACAGCAACATCCACCCCACAACTACATCGAAAATCGCTGTTCTGAAATTTTTACAATTATCTAAGAATACCGAATGGCTTAATAGTTAGACCGATGGCTTCTCACTTCATACATTTAAGATTCTAATCTTTATATGCTTGGCTTTCTACCACATAATACCGAATAACCATGTTGTATCCTAGTGGATCTATTATGAATATATTATTGTATCGGCAGATTTATTATACAAAACAGTAACATCTACGTACTTTGCCTTAATTATTATCCATATGAAAAACGAATATCAAGAAAATATTAAGAAATAGAGTAATTATTTTTAGAAAAAAGAAAGATTAACATGGATAACTTCGTATAATAAAATCAATTTAATATTGGCAGAAAAAGAGTTTTTTTTTTATTTTAAATTGCTTCTGAGTAATTTAATTCGAAGATAAAATCTCGATAAGTGATAAAACTAATGATAGTTAAATCAATTATCAATTAACATATTCTCGCGATTTTGAATACTATTCTCAATATTAACTATCGCTTGAACTTTATACATTTTAGATTGAGCAACTAAAAAGAAATTAAAAAAAATCTTGATAGAAGAGTAATATAGTTAACATAATATAATCAATCACCTTAATCATGACTAATGGCCATAACCGTCTCAAAAGCCTGGTAATGGGTTAACAAACTAGATATACATAAGAGATTCAGTAAAAGTCTAGTCTACTCTGAAGCATATCACACTCACATATACTCTAGTGAGCTCTTGATTCGTATGTTAGAATATTAGTATAAAGAATCTTTAGAATCAACTTTGAAATAAAATAAAATATAACAATTTCATTTGATAGAACTTATCAATATGTATTTGAAATGAGTTTCTGGATGAATTCTAGATGAAACTAAAGAAATCTCAAACTAACTCCATCTATATGATTTTGTATACAAATTTTGCAACCGCATGTGTGTTTTTACTTTCTTTCCTGTACATGCAACTGTTGGCAAAGACAAGTATCTACGTTAAATTTTTTCTTTTGCGCCGTTGCTTTCATTTTAATCGACATAGACGAACATTAACATGTTTCTTCAAAATACGATCATGTTTGGATGACGCATGAGATACAAAGTAACACTAAATTTATTACTTTTCGTGCTTGTTTCCTGTTACTTTTCAGTTACAAGTTAGTTCATGAATCGAATTTGTTTGGTCTTGTTCGCTACTAAGCTTTCTTTTTCGATATATCTATGCAAACAATATTCATCAGAAGAAATATTTACTTTATACTACTTGACTGACATGTTCTCTAACAGAAAACCATCTGTCAAGATCGCCATCTATATAACATATATATATATATATATATATGGACGGTTCCTGTTTATAATTTCATCAAACCAAGCACATAGAAGTTTCTATTTTTTTTATGATAAATACTTGTCTCTAGACCTATATCTTGCCCTAGTAAATATGTGAAACTGATTTCGAAATGATTAAAATAACTATGTTTCATAAAAACGACTTATTTGTTTTCATTTTGAGATATAATAAATGTTTTGTTATGAGATTTCATTTTATAACCTTTCCTTTCTTGTTTTTTGATTGTATATTTGTAAATAGTATATATTATACGTTGTGGTGGGTACTACTATTTTTTTTTTTATGAAAATAAATAATCGTTTCTTTGTGTGCTTCAAGAGTCGAGGGTGTGACTGTGACTGTTGATCTTCTCTTAACTGACACGTCACCCTCGCCCATACCCCCAAACTCACACACATCCACACCCCCATCCCACCAACCCAAATAGAAGGTGCCGATAACTTGAGGGTGTGGGTGTGAGTAAAAAAAAATCGCACTCATACTCATCCATACTCACCTACCCACACCCACATTCTACTGTCAACTGACCTAATGGCAAGGATACCTTGAACTTAGTATATTCACTCGCGATTCATAGTTCTCTAAATTTGTATTTGATTCTTTCGTTGCATCTTGAAAAAATTTTACATCAATTTCTTGTTTAGATTTTTATATTATTTCAGATTTATAAAAATTTTGCGAAAAACAATTTTTTCAATTAATCATTGCATTATCTGTTCATCATGGTTGTCGTTCACCTCAGTTCTGACATTCTGGTTGCTGCATGTAGATGTTTCAGTTGTATTTACTAATTTTTCTTGTGCTCGTTTTTCAGATTCACGTCTGATCCATTCTTGCTGAATTAGAATTGGTAAACCAGGATTAAGACTTAATTTATATGGTACCAATGACTTTGGCAACTCATCAAAGTCCACTATAGCTTTGATAAACATAATATCATCACGAACATAGAGATTGCTATCCTGTTGTATCATTGTTAAAGGCACAAATTTAGGTATACCAGAAGCGATATTCATATCTGAACGAGGCCTTTGAAAACTGCTTGATTTCACATCAGGTCGAAATGAATCGATAATATGTTGTTGTTGAGAAGTTTGATCAAAGAGACAAAATGTCACTTTGTAACTGAAAGGAAATTGAAGTACCGAATCATATTCCCCACGCATCAGTACAAAGAAAAGAGACATATGAGTGCGTCGAGCATTACCATCTCCGGCCAAATATAGACGAAGTCGCATCTTATAACCATTCGGTGATGAATAGAATACAGGAGAATAAATAGATGTCTGCCGTTCACACTCAGCATCAACTAAAAAAGTTGAAAAGAAAAATATAGAAATGAAAACTTCGATGCTATAGTTTATTTAAATTTTCTTTTGAAATTAATTAATGTTTTTTTTTTTGTCAAATGAAACTTGATTGACAAAAACAAAAGTCACTCTTTTAAACATACTCATTTTCTTTTGAACATTTGCAATTCTCCATATCAGTGTGCCATCAGTGGAAATATTCTTCAAATCATCAAGCTGTTGTTGAAGTGAATTGATACTTTCTTCAAATATTTGTTGATTGACTGTTTGAGCATCTATTGATGAATGTGTTTCTTCGATAGCGATTTTCATTTTTGATAAGCCATCGGACAAGTATCGTATTGAATTTTCATGGTGAAGTAACTCTGAACTAACATGTTGAATGTCATCATTTAACGATTGTATCCCACCCAATAGAATATCCGCTGTTTCAAATAATGGTTTAAGATCTGCATGAGAAATCTCTTTAGTTTCTCTATCGGTAGTTATTGTTGTATGAGAAGACATGTCTGATTGATCATTGATTAAATGTTGATTGTGTTTAAAAAGATATTGAAGTAAAACACTTTGATGTTGTTCGCTTAGAAAATGGCTTCGTGTGTTCACGCGAAGGAACTAATAAGAATAAAGTCTTTGATTAGTAATAAAGTTAAAATAAAAATTTCTTAAATACCTGTTCAGTACAGCCATATGGTTGGAGGAGACAATTGACAGTGAGTTTCTCACACATAGATAAATGTTGGTTTAAATCATCAATTGTTTTGAACTCTTTACCACAATATTCACACAAAGGATTCAAATGAACTGTATCGAAATGTTTCTGAAAAAAAGAGACAAAAAAAATCACAGCAACATATAAGAGAAAAAACATCAAACACAATATTACTTGATAATTCTTAAATATACCACTCCACTCGCAAAGTGAACACATAATATTTAATTTCTCCATGTCAAGTTGGCATGCCTTGTCAATAATTATCTTAAAATCAAAACAGAACATATTAAACATACCTGTAAAGAAAGACAAACAAAAAGTTTATCCTACTTGATCTCGTGGTGTCACTTCATTGCAAATGTTGCATTTGATTATAGAACTTCAAATAACAAAAAAAATTTAATTCAAATCGATTAACAATTAAACACAAAGAAAAAACGAATCATGTGCTTACCTTTCTTCAACATTTATACATGACTGACAAAAGCGATGTCCACATATCAATTGAATAGGATTTCTTAGTAACAAGCTACACAACCAACAAATATATGTCACTAGGGAATCTTTGTTTCTTGCATCAAAACCAATTTTTCTATTAAGACACTGAAAAACCAAAAGTATTATTTCAGGAATAATAAGTGTCAATTCATTAATAATTAAATATAACTCACTTGTGATAATGATCGACTGCCTTCCATGAAGTTTGGATCATGTGTCTCGCACATTGTAATTCTAAGATAGAAACAAATGAATATTTTTTTTTATTACACAGCTCATTTCAACATAAGTTGATCGGTAACTAAATATGCATATAGTAATTAAACGATGGAATCGATACTATTATCTTGAAGTCAGTCTCGGATTTCTTTCTTATTGTCAAGTTCATCCGAAGACAGTCGAAAAAAGAATATGAACTTATCAGATGAGTATTGTACTTAGAGAATGTTTTACAATCAACTTCGATTCTTTGTCTAGCTTTTGTGATTCAAGAATAAACGCTTTTAACATGTAGTTAACAGATTGATGAATCTTCCATTGTATAAACTTCAATCAAGGCTTGATCGAGTACACTTTAAAAAGCATAGCAAGTGTGTAGAATGCACCATTCCATCACAAGACCAAACTGATAGGAAATATAGAATAAAGAACAGAAATAGAATCAATTTGTTTTAGAATCGAATCTCACTTGGATTTGTACTTCCGACAAAAGTTCATTCGATTTGATTCAATTTAAGCTTTAAAAAAGTATCAAAAGTTCTAAATTTTAGTCTTTGATTCAAACAGACTTGACCTAGTGTTAATTAACTGGACGAATAAAATTAAAGAAAAAGTTCTGCTAACATTTATTTAATAATCATTGATTGAATTGATTGTGATAAGTTCTGATACATATTAAAAGAGTTTTATTCTTGAATGGTTTTGGATCACAAAAACCTAGACAAATAATCGAAGTCGATTCTGAAATAATCAGTAAGATATATATCGGTGACATTATTTTAGTATAATAAACATCCATTACTTCACATACATGTTTGCCTTATTATCCATGATTAATTAAATTGATCGAGAAAATTCGTATTTCTTTTCGTCTTCGATGCTTTTTTAGACTGTCTTCATATGAACTTGACAATGAAGAAGAGAATCCAAAATCAGTTCGAAGAAAGCGGAATTAATCAGACGGATCCGATACCGCTATAGCTGAGTGGTCAAGTTGTTTGGCAAGTATTCATAAGGTATTGTGTTCGAGCCTCCGCGTTATCATACATGAGATAATTTTAGACAAGTCACTAACGATTGCTTGACTCGGATCATCCGTAAGATGGTATACTGACTACGTTGTGATACAAGGGCGGTCCATGTGGCTAGTAGGTAGTAGTGAGTGTAGGTGAAAAGTTCGACTGTTTGAGAGAAAGAACTGAGTCAGGTCGATTTTCGAAGCTGTCTCTGAACAGCACTTTATACTGCAAGACAGCTGAAAGACGAGGTATTCTTCTCCTTCTTCACGGCGATTCACAGAGGTATATATATATATAGAATTTGAGGCTGACTATGCATTAAGCGAAAACAATGGACTTCCACATTCTCAATTGCGTCACATATAAGCTATATTTATAAGCAAAGCGTGTACACCTTTCGTGTTACATCAGGAGGAAGCTAGTCATTTGCTCTTTGGAAATTTCCAAAAAATGAAATGCATCGTTATATAAATGTTATTTATTCTTAGAAAAAAATCAATCGGTGTAGAAAACGTAATCGAAAATTGTAACAGCGGAAGAGGGGAAGGCACACATACCTCTTCCTGATTGAAAATTATTCATACTACCTAATTAGACTACCTGCATTTTTTTATTCTTTTACTTCCTCGATGAGACAGTATCTTATTACATTGTCTACCGTCGAAAACATGAAAAACACGCTCAGTTTCTGAGGTTAATAGTAGGATTATATTTTTCTTTAGTAAAAGAAAAATCAATTCCACTTACTTTCTGTCCAAACAATATATTGTTTGATAGAATAAATATTCAAACTAATGAAATATTAATCTAAAAACAAATAAAATAATATCTTTTTTTCTTGCAAAAAGTTACGTGAACTATTTTAAATAATGATTAGAAAGACATTCATGTTTCAATATTCAAAAGAAGAAAATAGGTCGGTGTTGAATAAATTAAAAAGATAAATGAGAAAACTTTATTTACTTTGTTAAAATATTGCAATATATTATTCTAATAATTACATCTATAAAAAAAACACTGTATGATATTATATTAAGAATTACTCACAGTTCCAGCGAAGAGTAGCATAGTACAAACAAATTTAGAGCGGATTCGGCTTACTTCTAGCAATTTTTCAGTTACTGTTGAAAACTTTGAAGTGTTTTCAGTGTTAATGTGAGTCCTTTCCTTCTTCATAATTTTCTTTTTATGGTCGTGCCACTACTTCACAGATATCTATAGATCATAACGCATTGTAATAAAACAATCTTGATAGTTTATTATTATATACATATTTTGTGGGTTTTTTTGATGATTTTATAACCTCAGTGGGAAAAAGAAAGAAAAAAACCCAAATTAACTGGTTATTATTTCTTTCTTTCCAGTCTAACATAAATCCTTTTTATTTGATTTTTTTCCCACTCGGCCGCTTAGATATTTATCGTTTAGTGCTATTTTCATTGTTTCCTGATAAATTCCCATGATACGAATGGACGCATGAATAACATACATGAGGTCAGTATCTATAGTAGTCATCTGTTTAGGTTGAGTAATACCTAGTTTCATCTGATAGCCTTCACGCTTCATTTATTACCTTAATGTTGATTACTAATATCATGAGTCAATACAAATGAAAAGCAATCGATCGATACAATCATGTGGAAATAAATTTTGATTCTATATTGTAAACAAAATTATGTACAAGTCACATGGATAGAACAAAAACTATAGTTAAAATGAATGATGATTGTGAGTTGAGAAATTCGAAAAATACTTCATATCAATTACAAATTCTTTCAATAGTACAAAAACTTTGAAAATAAAATTAATTTTAAAACTTCTACATACATTAAATATTCTACTTGTAAGTTTTTGGCGAATATGAGTTCAGTTTATTAGTGATATTTTGATTATGATGACAAACAGAAGAATAATAGAAGAAGAGGAGATACAAAGAAGAACGGTTAGAGAATAAGATAACGAATATAATATCTAATAACAACAGAATAGAATGAACACGAATATATATATATATATATATATATATAAGAGCAGATTGGGAAAATCCTCTATACGAGCTAAGATAGTACAGTGGAAAATTTTCAATACGTGATGTTAAGAAAATCCTCGATACGAGATGTGGATATTTCCAACACTTGTGAATGTCCTTGAATTCTCCATCTGAACACTACAACGAATAAGTAATATTCAAAGATAATTGTCGAACATTAGACTTATAAGAAGCAGTAGATAGGTAAATTTACTAATAATTAGTTACAAGTTTCTATAGTATATAAATTCTACAAGCAATCATCAAAGATTTTAACGATTTCAAAATATTGTAGATAGTGTGATCGATGCACTTTCGTACTATATAAATTAAAAAGCATAACTATTGTATTGAAATATGAACTTTTCTATAACCAGTTTTTTTTCATTTGAAGTTATTTGAAAATATTTCGAAAATTAACTATTGTATCAAAATAAAAGCATTATTAAGAAATTTATAAAAATATTGATACAAATCACATTGATTCATTCCTAACGTTGACATATTCTGACTAATTACTATCAAATTACTAGGAAATTTAACAAAATAAAGAATTTACCTGCTTCATTACACATAGATATTAATATTATAATATGAAAAAAAAACCATATGCAACGATTATTCATAGTATTTGTATTTACTGAGAAATATTGGAAATTACCAATACTTTACGTGGAAAGAGTCTTCTGCTTAATATGAAAATACACTCATATTTATATGAAAGCAATCTATATTATTTCAACGTCTAGTGAAAGTTTGATAGTATTTTTGCAGTAATTACTGAAATTCGATCGCGACTACTGACCTAAAATTTCGGTTCCATGTGTTACAGTGTGGTTCACTTGTGTTTGATGTTTCTTTCTTTTCTCTGTTCTGCTGTTGTACCGATGATCAGTACTACATATATATATATATATCTCCTTTGGATATTGCTAAGGAATTTTTCCTCTCATTCATGTTTTCTTCCTGCTACGTTCGGTTATTTCCCACTTCATTAGTGTATATAACGATTATTTTGGAAAAATCA